TTTGGCATTATATTGCCCGGGACTGACAATGGATTCAAGCTGTTTGGGAAGGGGGAAGCCACCGCTCACGCCTTAATAAACAATGAGCATCAATATTTTTAACAGCTGTGCCAATTAGCATAAATATATATATATATACATATATATATATATATCCGAGTTAAAGATATGCATGGTTTCGCAATATCTTGTTTGATACTGTTACATTTCTAAACAAATAACACAGAGGATATTGTTGTATTTAGGATTGATTAATATAACCTAATTTGAAGAGAAACATATATACCATGAGACATGCATTGACCAGAATTAAACAGGCAATCTATGCCTATATGTTGCACTTTAGGTTATCCTACCTCACCGGCTTTTTCATGTAGATATAGTAATTTAAAATATGATATTATAATATAATATAAAAATAATATAAATAAAAAATATAAAAATAATAAAATTTAAAATTTTAAAAATTATAAATAAATTTATAAAATTAAAAATTATATTTTATATTTTTATATCAGAGCTACTTTCAGTGATGCGTAGGTAGCTAGCACCCCCCCCCCCCCCCGGCGCACAAACCATGAGAAATGCAAGCCATGCCAATAGGTAGGGTTAGGGTATGCCTAAATTTTCCCAAAAGTCATGGTTGGCGAAAGCCGCGCCTACCCAAAGAAAAGGTAGCTATTGTCTTTGTAATAAAATCCTATTGCAATCCAGCCTGTCTCTGCTGATGCCTAATGAAGCTGTTTAATGATAATAGTACCGTCCGATTAGTTGGCATACATAAACCTCATCGTGATAGACATGATGCAGATCGGAGTAAAATCAACGTTTTTTTTTTTTCTTCAGAAAAACTGAGTATTCTGGCCTGGCCTGCATTATACATTTACATATACAACTGTAAATGCTATAGCCTAATGGATTATTAATTAATTAATGCCTCTTATGTTCTAGCTTGAATTGTTAGTCCCCTGGGAATTTCAAATTTTACGTTTGTGAACCAAGAATAAAAAGGTTGGTTCTATGTCCAAACTTGGACAAATATCTTTGTCTTTCCAGCTGTGTGGTGAGATGATATTAGTTGTCGATGCAACTTGCTTGATGATGAGTAACTTTTATTTCAAATAAGGTCAAGCTTGGATGTGGACCAATTGAGGCCGACAAAATTGGTGTATATATGTTCTGTTTATTAATTTATGCACTAGGAATTTGGAATTACCTTCTTATCGAAATTAACATTTATTGATATAAAACTTTAGAAGTTTTTTTTTATTTTTACGAGGTAATGATCATTTAGAATTTATGGACAATGAATTAAATATAAATTTAAGATTAAGTTGTGAAGTTTATATGAATAAATAATATATATATATAATCAATGAAACATTGATTTAATAATAAAGAAGAGTTTTTAAAATTTTAAGTTTAAATTTTATTATGTGTGATTTTGATTATTTAATAAAATTATAGTTTATAAATTAATTATGTTATAATAATTGATTATTCAATTAATTATATAAATATAATATTTAATTAGGAGTGTACTTTTTTAAAAAATAAACATGTAAAATATTTAGAATTTAATTTATGTAGGTAACTAAATGTGAAGAGAATATGGGACTTATATCATAAAAGAGAAAAAATCCTCGTAATGATTCTATAACCCTATATATATATATATATAGTTATAAACTGGAAATTAGTTTGTGCAGGTAATTAAACGTGACAGGTCAACAAATTATTAATCGGAAGCATTTGCTCTGGTCACAGGATGCGGCTCCTCTCCTTTTTATCTCTCAACCGAAGAGTCAAAATTTACGTATAGAAACAATGCCACATCATTAAAATCTAAACGTATAGTTTTAACACATTCCACATCATCAAATTATAAGCTCTGTTAATTTAAAGACAGTCAAAGAAGATGTTTTTATTACTTTGTTTCTATAAGACATTTTCTTTATAACAGAACCGCAGTTTCTTTCTCTCTCAAATTTCATTGCATAATCATTAACAACCCAACCCATAAGTAGAGAAAGAAAGTTCTGTTGTTTATGAAGGACAAGTGCAAATATAGCTTTATTGTACCAAAAAAGAACATCATACCATTTCACCTGCATAAATAAGATCTGTGGGATTTTTTTTTTTTTTGTTTTTTGAAGAAGCCCTATGAGATTTAAAATAAAAAAGGAATTGTGCCAAGGAGAAACTAGAAAGAAGAAAAGGAAATTGTGCCAACGAACTCCCCCGTTGAAAGATTAAAAGAAGGGGCGCCTGATTCACAAGGGCAACCTTGTGGAGCTATATTAATCCAATAATTGTAGCAATCGATGATATTGACTATTGGGTCCACCGCCTATGACTATAGGACTATGCTGATGTTCACCAATCGCAGTAGGATGAATCCAAATTTTGAGCCAATTTCTTTGAACTAAAACAGCGCACCAAATTTTAGCATTATCGGGTATAGACAATAAGAGTGTTGACCCACAACAAATATTCAAATATTTTAGGTTCGTTCAAAGACTACTCAAGGAAGGCATTCACGCCATACAATATAGAATTATTGATATACTTAAATTAGTACAGAACTCCCGTGGGTTTTTAAATTTAAGTGACGTAACAATTATGTTCTAAAACTCCATCGTTACGTGATTTTAAAATTAATAAAAAATTATAATTAATTTTTTAATTAAATGTGATTAATCATTTAAAAATATTTATCTTTTAAAAAAATTCTTAAATTAATTATATTTTATTAAAAACTAATTTTTTGATCTACTATAACAGTTAAAGTTCGAGAATAAATGCATAAGTAAAGATTAATATTCTCACATATTTATTTTAAAAAGTATCAATTAATTATATGTTATTTTATAATTTTATAAAAATAATTTTAATATTTAAAATAATTCTTTTAATTTCTTTTATTGTCCAAAAGTTTTTTTTATTTTTTAAAATCATTTTATTTAGAAATAAAGTGAAAGTTTTGGCATTCGAAAAATTTTTAAAAAACTGTTTAAATGGAATTTTAAAAGGATTTTTTAATATTTAAGTGAAATTTTAAAAAACATTCCTCATTTGAGAAATTTTATAATAATTTTTTAACTAAAAAATAATATATTTTTATAAAAAATAATTATTAAAAATCTCACTAACATTTATGTAAGGTTTCAATTTTTTTAATTAAAAATGTTATCTTACTTTCTTTTTTTTTTCTAAAATCTTTTTTCAAAATCATCGTCTTAACATTTCACATTTATTATCAACACATAAAAGGCATATGATGTAATAAAAAATAAATAAATGATGGAAATAAATAAAAAAATTAAATATTGCAAATAATCAATTTTAAATAAAAATTGTGATCCATTTTAATTTATCTGGTCAATATAAATGTGTGTGTGTGTACATATATATATATATATGTATATGATGGTTGATCGGATCATTATTAGAATAATATCAATGGATAAATACGAGGTTGCACGAGCGGCGCATTGGTAATATGAGGCTGGCTTTTAGCCTGTTGAGAGAAAATTTTAGTACTAATTCTTTGTATTTCTTTCCGCAGTCTGCTAAGATATCCGACCAATTATACGCATAAAATTTTCCATACAATCAATGTCTACTGGTTTATAGTATTTGTTCTCTTGTTGTTGTTAGACACACCTGAAAGAACCTGGACTGCAGCAGCTATTATCGTTTCCTGCAGTACTACTGAGCATGAGAAGACCAAGATATTTATATTATTCCAGTTGTAGCTTTTTTTCCCAACATGGCTCTCACTTTTCTAGTAAAGAGAGAATTGCAAAAGTGATTAAATATCAAGTTTGGATTTCTTTGTCTCCAATATTGTGAAGATCAGAAAAGGTTGTTTATTACAAGTTGAGAGATTAAATATTATGCATTTAACCTTAATTCATAATCAGTTGATTTGGGTTGATTCCAACCCATGCACTACGTTTCTTTATCTTTTCTTGTTTGGATCATAGGAATTGTGGCCCCAATTGATAAAAACAGCTATGGTTTCTTGCTTGCTAAGCCCATATCATAGTCTTTACTTCTCTTCCGATATCATAGCCTGGCCCAAAAAGGAAAAGTTCTTGGACTAGGTTCTGTGAAGTTATAAAATATTTCTATGTCATAGTATAAAATAAAAATATGAGCATAAAAATTAAATCAATTTTAACATCTAATTATAATTAATTAATAATTATATATTTTATTCTTTACCATAAAAAAATTAACGGTTGATTGATATTTATTGTATTTATTTAAGCGCATCTTTGTATGCAACATTTTTATTTTAGTTTTTATTTGGGAAAATGTTTTATCTCAATTTTTTCCTTCCTCCTAAATCTTTGGGCTTGATTTGGTTATAGCCCCTGGTAGTGACAGCCCATTTCTTTTCTCTTCTCTCTCTTTAAAAAAAAAAAAAAAAAACTCAAAAGAGGGCTTAATTGATTACCATAGCCGGCAATGAAAATAATAGTAAACAATAACTCAACTTTATAGGTATGATGCTACAATTAGCCACTCCATTGTTTAAAATACTAATCCCTTTTGTCCTTCTCAATCAACAAAATTTTAAAAAGTATGTTAAGTTCAATGAATGTTTATAGATAACAACAAAACAATCAAACATCAAATAAAGCAATACCCACCCTCATATTTATTTTTCAAGGAGAAATTATCATTTTTCAAAAAACAAACAATATTTGAACAAGTAGTTCAACTAAAGTTATATTGTACTGTTACTGTCAAAAAATGTTTGTTCATCAAATAACATTTTAATTATATTCCCTTCATTTTTTTTTTTAGATATCTTAAAATTATATTTTTTTTAACACTTAAAATTATTATTTTTTATATTTTAAAATTAATTTTTTTAATTTCCGTAAAAAATCAAAATTTTCAAACAATTTAAAACAGTGGGGAGTGGCATCTCAGCTTAATAAAGTAGTGATGCGGCGTGGCGTGAGCAGTATCTTTGGGCTCGAGAACTCAAGTAGAAAGAGGTGGAGATTAAAGATTCCTCTTTCGTAGACGTTCTTGCTGACGCTTTTCACTTGCACTAGCTGACTAGCAACTCCAACTCTAATCTGTTATGAGAACAAGGGCCCATGTCCCTTCGGTATATCCGTTGTTTGGTTCCTGACAAAACTGAAACTGAAGTTAAAAAAAAGAACAAAGGTAGTATCCAAATACAACTGTGTCTCCTGTCCTGGGTCCTGACTGAGGTCTTGCCGCAAAGCAGTCTGCGATCAAGCTTGGCCTATATAAGTATTTCTTTGAACATATAATTTCCCCGCCGATCAAATCAATCACAGTAGAATATAATAGAGACATGGGCTGGAGAGGGATTCTGGGTTTTGATTACGGAATAGTTCAAGGACCATTGGGACCTGATATTGCTGGACCGGAGCTAGTGGCTGCTGTTGCAAACGCTGGTGGCCTTGGCCTTCTTAGAGCTCCTGATTGGGTATTATCAAATTCTATTTTTTATTTTTAATTTTTATGTTCATGCTTTGATCTTCCTTGGTAAATACTCGTACTTTCTGTAGTTAACTTTCACTAGAATTTGCTTTGAATCCCTTTTGACCACCTTAGTTAGTTACTATATATACTCAGTTACTATGTCTGGTTTCTGACTTTCTGTTTTTGTATATCTTGAGAAACCTTATTAAACCAAGGCAGTTAATGAATGTATAAAGAGAAAACTTTTACTATTTTCATGGTTGAGCCAATATAGTCATCAAATTACTAATTGCATTAGTCTAGGGTTCAAGATTGGCAATTCCTAACCAGTGCGTTGTATCGACTATTTTCTCCTAATGTACTTCCTTAGGCTTCTCAATCTTGAACAGCTTTCATGGAAATGGGAATTTATCCAAATTATGCAACTTATTCGACACAAGTAAAGAAATTAAGGTTCTATTTCAGTTTATTTTAGATTTCCAAGTAGATGTTTTAGTTCAGGGAAGGTCTTAGAAATGCTGATTTTTTTGTAATCCTGAAAAAAGATTGAGCTAATTGTTACAATTCTAAATTTTAACTCTGTTTAAACTGTCAATAGACTGTTGATTTTCCCGTACTTTGGTGTGCAGGAATCACCAGAATACGTAAAGGAGCTGATAAGGAAGACTCGAAAGTTAACTGACAAACCCTTTGGGATTGGTGTCGTTCTGGCGTTTCCACACAAGGAAAATATAAAGGCTATATTAGAAGAAAAGGTAGCAGTTTTGCAACTTTATTGGGGAGAATGCTCAAAGGAGCTTGTACTGCAAGCCCATAATGCAGGGGTCAAAGTTGTTCCCCAAGTGAGTATCATATTTCCCCTTTCGTTGCATAGGTAAATATGCTTTATGCCATAATGTGGATTGTGAAATGCTGATTCAACCAAAAACAAGCAAAAAGATACAACAGATGGCCTATATGTTGCTATTGCTTTGTTAAGAGTATTAACCTTAATTTGATAGATTTTTTTTTTTTTTAATATGGGTAGTTTCATGGGAAGGGGATGGGGGCAGGGAAAACCTGGACACAGTCCCGGTACTTCATCCACACCATGATGATTGGTTATTACCAGGTCATGGAGTGACTTTGCCTAATTATTAATTAATGTGATTTTGTGAACGCTTTCAGAAAACTTTCATTACCATATCGCATTTTTAATTCACCTAGAACTTTTTCTTATGAGATATATAGTTGCCTTTATGTACATATGATGAAAAGTAACACCATTAGATTTTGCCTTTTTGGGTCCAAGAGAGATGTGCGAGGTAGAGATGAGATTTTTCTTTGTTCCAGTAAGTAACAGTTATTAGTTAATGACATGCGAGAATAGCTTGGGAAAGTTCTGTATTGGGGACAATAATATGTATTCATTTGTGAGGAAAGTATAAGAAATTAAGAACATTAATTTGGAGTGTTCATGTTGGCATCAATTTCTATGCCCTTTTGAACTGAAGGTGAAGGGTAGGATGGTATATTTTATCCATATTGTGCTTCCTCTTGGATTATCTCATGAGCTAAATGTAAATCCATTGAAGGTTGGGAGTTTTGAGGAAGCAAAAAAAGCAATTAATGTGGGTGTAGATGCAATCATCATCCAAGGCCGTGAAGCAGGAGGGCATGTAATAGGACAGGTATGAGCATTTCTTGAGTTTTATTGTATTGCAACTATAATAATAAATATCTTGGAGCCTATTCTTGCCAAAATTAACAACTGTGTCCCCATACATTCAATAGCATTATACATTGAACACTAGTAAGACTTTGATGCTTAGCTACGTCTCCATAAATTATTTGTGTTTCTGAATCCTATAAAACTTGTAAAACTGAACAACTGAAAAAATTTAACTTCCCTGTCCTTCTGATGTTTTGCTATTTTCAGGATGCTCTAATTTCATTGCTGCCACGAGTGGTTGATCTTGTTGGTGATCTTGATATCCCTGTAATTGCTGCTGGGAGCATTGTAGATGCTCGTGGTTATGTTGCTGCTTTGGCTCTTGGTGCTAAAGGCATTTGCATGGGCACTAGGTTAGGACCATGTCTGTAAATTAAGAAGCACTAACAGTAATCTGGACATTTGACTACATTCCGAGACTGGTGGTGCTCAGATTTGATTAGCTCATGCATATGAAATAATCTCATCTTTGTTTCATTGAATTTTATGGTGTTCTGCCTCTTCTGTGTGTGTCAAAATCGTTTCAACTCCAGTTAACGTCGTGCAATCGTTGAATGTTAAGCAATTAAGTTATGTGATCATGCTTAAGTCTTAGCCAACGGAATGTGATGATTTTGCAGTTTCTTGATAGATTGTTTGTTGAACCTTGCAGAAATTCTGAACTTAGGGTTGAAGCATTTATAAAGCTTCTTGTGTCTGTTTGTCCTAAAGTATGAGTTTTTGCAGGTTTCTTGCAACTCATGAAAGCTATTCTCACCCCACATACAAGAGGAAACTGATTGAGTATGATAAAACCGAGTACACAGATGTCTTTGGCAGAGCGAGGTGGCCTGGTGCACCACACCGTGTACTGCAAACACCTTTCTTCTGTGATTGGAAATCCCTTCCTGCTGAAGAAAATGAAACCAATCAGCCTATCATTGGCCGATCAATAATACATGGCGTGGTGAGAATCTAACACTATTGAAATAATATTGCATTATCATTTTTTTTTCTTCCAAAAGTTGGAGAAATTTATATCCTTGGCAAAAAGTCACATTTAAGATGTAGCTTGTTTTCTTTTTTCAACAATAGAACTCTTTCTTGCCTAGTTCACTCCATGAGAGGGTTTCTGCTTTCAATTACTGAAGAAATATCATTGGAATGATCTTTGTGCTGAATGAAATCTAAGCTTCTGTTGGTTTCATGATATTCTTTAATAGGAAAAAGAAATTCGACGATTTGCTGGTACAGTTCCAAATCCAACAACCACAGGTGACATTGAAAGCATGGTGATGTACGCAGGCGAAAGTGTAGGCCTCATCAAGGAAATTCTTCCTGCTGGAGAAGTGGTGAAGAGGCTGGTTGAAGGGGCTCAACTTCTGATCCAGCAAAGATTTAGTGGGGAGTCGGTCTAAATCGCTTATGAACTGAAATTCAACATATTTATGTGAATTTTATACCTTGGTTGGTGAAGCTGTTACGTGACTTTAAAATATGAATAACCCGAAGTTTAACTCGGATTATGTAATCACCCTTAAATGGTGGCATTCAGTAAGTTTGAAATTTGAATCTAAACAACTGCAAACCCTTTTATTATCCTTAGGCTGCTACCTCTTTATGAAATTCAACATATTTATGTGAATTTTATACCTTGGTTGATGAAGTTGTTACATGATTTTAAGGTATCAATAACCTGAAGAGATTATACAGGAAACAAACCATATTGCTATGATTTTATACATTTTTTTGTTTCAGTTTTATTGGTATGCTATCATATAAGCATATAAATCATTAAAAGATGGATGAGAACAATCAATAAAGTCCCCCTCTTAGATTTTGCACTATTGAAGCTCTTAATGACAGCTTCAAAGCTTATTATTTCTCAAATGTCAAGCGAGTGTCTGCAACCTCCTAAGATGGAGATGGTTTTATTGTGCTGCAACCATTGCTGACAAGAAGTCATCATGATTTATACCGTTGATTGCTGAAGCCATTGCTGTTACAGAAGAAACTAGGTAATGTGGTAGCACTTAATGGATGAACCAAGTTACAAGTGGTGATGTTATTTGCCAATACACCAGTTTTCTGTGTTTCGCAATTCAATGTTACTTGTGAACCTGAAGAATTGAAAGGGGTATTGATTTCCCCTGTCCTTGTGCTGTTTCAGTAATAAATTGACATAGCTAGCTGTATCGGAAGCTTGGTGCTCATGGCATCTGCCTGAAATATTATTTAATTAATAAAAGTTATTTTATTTTAAAATATATTTAAAATAATAATATAAAATGTTTTTTTAAATATTTTTAATAATATTGAGTTTATTTGAGTCTGACTATACTAGATCTAATAAGGCTTATAACAAGTCGATCGGACTTGATCTAATCTTGCCTAGCTATAAACACCTCTAAAATAATTTTCAATTATGCATATTTAAAAACGGTTAAATCGAATATTTGCATTATTTCTACCTAAATATATAATGTAATTCAAATTATACTAATTTGTCAAAAAATTATGTTAATTACTAATTTTATAATTTCGTATAAAGCTTCACATAATTTTTTATTATAAAATATAATACTGGCAAAAAAAAAAAAAAACTATATACGCCTTCTTCAAGATGATTGGTCATATATCATGCATCCAACACAATGACTAGATGTGCGGGAAGGTGAACTTTGCCACCATGCCAAAAAAATATTTGAAAGGAATTTCGTTGGTTTAATATTTTACTATTTTCTTATGCAAATCCCCGAATAATAATAAATTAATAAAATTTTCATAACTTGTGAATTTGACTGCCTCTCTCTCATCATGAAGACGACCACTTCTTTTGTCGGATTTCTTGGCGGCTACGGAGACTTTAGTTTAATAAAGTCCAAAAAAATGTTGGTGTTTCCGAGTAGTTTTGAGTTTTTTATTTTAAATAATTAAAAAAAGTTAAAAAAGTAAATTGATAAATTTTTTAATAATATTTATTAAATTTTAATAAAAAATTTCAGTCAAATCTTGTACGTATTTCAATACTCATTAAAATATTTTTGTCGAGCTTGAGCCGCCCCAAGTATTCTGTGTGGGTTTTCTTTAACAATTATATAAGTTTCTTTGGACTTAAATTAGCCGACTACAGGTAGTGATCTCATACATTATTATAAACCTTAATCTCCCTTTCCAAGATTCATATTAAAATTTGTAAGAGAAGTTCAAAGTTCTAACTATTAGGAAAAATAATATTTTAACAGCATGTGTTGAAACAAATGAATTCTTTTATAACTAATATTGGATGCTCATTTTATATATATAAATAAATAATTAGGTAAATAGTAGGTATAACAAGGCTCTCTAACTATCAAACAAAGGAAAGCAAAAAGATAAAATATTATTTTCGTCTCCTTGTTTTTTTTTTTTTTTTTCTCTTGAGTATTTGTTAAATATAATTGTACGTAACTCAGTTATTTCACAATTATTGTCCTTTCCTCAGCACAAGATAGTCTGACAACATTATGAGCCATGATATTCATAGACCTATTGACATGTAGAAATCAATAACTCTATACTATGATGCTGCCCTCATGATGTCCATTGTTTTCCCTATTCCCCCCAATAACAATTAGACAATTATTACTAGATAAATGCGCATTGGATATCCTATAGACTTTGGTTAGCGTAGAATATATTTAGAATAAATGGCAAGAATGATCTTGAACTTTTTCTTAATTTTATACGAGAAATTATCATCTATATTAATAATGAAATTTTTTTAATTTTATAAGTGAACTTAAAAGGATGATGCATATTCCTTAGGTGAAAAAAAATAAAGAATTAATAATAAAATGCTATATGTCAATTCTTGAGTTAAAAAATTTTACTAAATCACAGTGTATCATATTCTCAAAAATCATTTATTGATTTTCATAATTACAAGGTTATAATGAAATAATTATTTTATCAATACTTTCATTAAGTGTTAGTTGACGATATATGTCTATCACATGATAGACATGTGTAAATTAAAGTATATTATTTATTTATTTAATATTTTTAAAAAAATTAATATTATATTAAAAACAAAATTTTGAAAATAAAAAATAAAAAATTATTTTAAAAAACTATTTAATACACTATTAGTAAAGTTTTTTAATTTTGAAAATAGAATTAAAAAATTGACACATATCTCACTTTTTAAAATTTTTTAATATCCTAAAAGATATATGTTATCTTACTAATTCCAATTGTATAATTTAAAAACTATACTGTTGTTTTATAATTTCTCTATTTTAAATTATAATATTTGTTCAAATTTATTAAAATTATATATTATATTTAAAATTAAAAATAAAAAAGAATTATTATAAAATAGTAAAATTAAAATTTATTTGATCATGTTTCCTCGTTTCCTTTTTCTCTTATTTAAAAAAAAAAAGATTTTATTTGATTTCAAAGGCAAGATGTCATGACCTACAATTATTGTACTACAATTAATAAATTATAATTCAAAATTTAATATAGTGTAGAATTTATTAAAATTTTATATAAAACTCTCAATCTTAAGTGATGGATTTTATATAATAAAATTTTGAAAAAGTATATATTTATATATTATGTGGGTGTATTAAATTAGTTTTTTTGAATAGTATATTAGATTAATTTATATAACATTTTTAATAATATTTTATTATAATTACATCATTACAAAATTAAAATTAAAAAAATGAACACTCACGTGCCAAACTGTCAATTACAATAAATTACTTAGACCAAAAACCAGCAAGATTTATTTTAAAAAAAAAAACACCTTCAAGATTTGGCTAAAACTAATTAAGATGATGTAATTAAGCAAAGCAGCCGAAGGTATAATAGGTAATTGCAGGATTAGTTGTTTCTGAATTATGATAATTTGTAACATGAACATTGTTCATGTAACAAAAATTAACCCCCCCCCCGCAAAAAAAAAAAAAAAAAAACCTACGAACGACTTCTAGCAAGTATAGCCATGTGACATCATCAAAAACAGGGAAAAAAAAAGAATAGCTTTGAATTTTGTGCTTTGCATAGCCATTGGTCAAAGGTACATCTTTTTATCGTTAACGTAGAATCCATTTGAATCCCATTCGCCGTCGGATTTGGTGTTTGAATTACCGCATAGCAGTGGTGCTTGGGACTTCCTACCACGTGCACCTGCCAGCATTTATTTTTAAAAATGTTCTTTTTTTTTTTTTTTTACTCTTGAGGACAACAGGTATGAAAATGTTTTTATCACTTAAGTTTTTCTTCTCAATTTTTATTTTTAAAATTTTTTGATTTAAGACTTTTTAAATAAATTTATATAATTATCTAATAAATAATTAATAACTAGTTACTAAAAAATAAATATATGAATAAGTACTAACTAATATAATCTAATAAATTATTAAATAATTAAATAAATAATTCTAGTAAATTTTAATTTATTATAAAAAATATTATTTGATATAAAATAGTTTTAATAATTTTTAATTTTACAAATATTTAGTATATACTATAAATTTATTATATATTAATTTTAATTTAAGATGATCATTTTCTCATCTCATTATATTTTATTTTACTATCATCATCATATTTACATCCAAACACATATTTAATTAATTTTAATCTTATTATTGCAATACTTAATTTTACTATTATAATAATTAATTTCATTATTATCACTATTTTCAATTTTATTGAAATTAATCTTACTGTCCGAATTCTTAAATCAGTCGCATATAATCACTGCAACGATTAATTTTAGCTGCATAATAGGCCATTACAGGGATCCAATATATCTGTTCATGTTCTAAAATGTTTTCCTCATTTTTTAGGTCGATGTTCTAGACGGAAGACAAATAACGACATCCCTTTCTTTTTCCATTTATTGTAAGAGAGAGCTTAGCTTTGCTAGTGTGTGGCTGTAGAAGGCAGTCGGATTTTGGTTCAATCCCAACAATTCAGTCTTTCATTTGTTAAAGAGAGAGACAGAGAGAAATGGGTCCTGATCCAGTTGCAGTTAAACCTCATGCTGTATGTATTCCATATCCAGCTCAAGGTCATATAAATCCTATGCTGAAGCTAGCCAAATTCCTTCACTATAAAGGCTTTCACATAACTTTTGTCCACACTGAGTACAATTCCAAACGCCTGCTCAGATCTAGAGGCCCAAATTCGCTTAATGGTTTGCCAGACTTCCGCTTCGAAGCCATCCCGGATGGTCTTCCACCTTCTGGTACTGATGCTACCCAAGACATCCCTTCTTTGTCTGACTCCACTTCGAAGAACTATTTAGGCCCGTTTCGTGATCTTCTTTGCAAACTCAATGACGACGTTGCTGCATATTCAGGTATACCGCCTGTCAGCTGTATCGTATCAGATGGTGGGATGTCTTTCACTGTTAAAGCGGCTCAAGAATTTGGCATTCCTGAAGTGCTCTTTTGGACTCCCAGCGCTTGTGGATTCCTGGGCTATGTCATGTTGCCTAGCCTACTTGAAAGGGGTCTAACACCTGTCAAAGGTATAGTGCTTTCGTTGTAATCAATATTTCAACGAAGTTAAAAATAGATTTTCTCATTAAAGATGCCTGCCAATAACTCGATTTACGATAGGATGTCTTTGAACTGTTTTGGT